TCCCTGCTCCGCGGGAAGCCTGCTTCTCCCTCTCCCACTCCCCCTGCTTGTGTTCCTGCTCTTGCTGTCTCTCTCCATCAAATAAATAAATAATCTTTAAAAAAAAAAAAAAGATAAAGGAGTCTGTGGTGTGTGTCTATCTCTTTGTGAGCAAGGGAAACAGTGTATCAGGGTGATTAAGATGAATGACAGGTAGGGAAGAGAAGAGTGATGAGAGGTGTAAGGCTGAAGACAAGAAGGGAACAAAATCCAGCACACACAAACGGCATGTATAAAATTTCATTCTTGCCTTCACGGACATGCATGTATGTATACATAATAGAAAATAGACATTTTAGAAGTACATTTATTTTGTTTCAAACTTCTATAACTAACATCTCTTAACCAATTCAGAGTCATTAATTCAAAATAATGAGGGTTCTAGAGGGGAGGGGGGTGGGAGGATGGGTTAGCCTGGTGATGGGTATTAAAGAGGGCACGTATTGCATGGAGCACTGGGTGTTATGCACAAACCACGAATCATGGAACACTACATCAAAAACTAATGATGTAATGTATGGTGATTAACAATAAAAAATTAAAACATAAAAAAACAAAATAATGAGATGTATTTCAGTGGATTAACTTAAGTAGTAATTTGGAAGGAAATTTTTTAAAATGATATGGAGTGTAGATTTATAAGAACTGTATTGTTTATGTTTGCTACAAGATTTTCTACATTTATCTAAATCTAGGAAACCAAACTAATGTTTAGGCCTGTGAATTCTCAAACTTGACCTTGTATCAGAGTCACCTGAGGGCTTGGCGAAAAGACAGACTGCCAGAAGCCCAGCGACCCCCTCCCTCCAGGATTCTGGGTCAAGAGGTCTGCAGTAGGACTCAAGAATTTGCATTTCTAGCAAGTTCCCCGGAGAGGCTGATGCTGTTGTCCTGGGAACCACACATTGAGAACCAATGGTCTAAAGCAAACTAATGTCCAAAAGAGAAAAAATGACCCACCAAATGCCATAGTTGTACTTACATTTAAGCCAGCTTTCCTCCAATAATAGTTGCTATATTGGTTAACCATGCACTTTGTTTTTTCTTTAAACTTTTCTTCTGAGTCAGTAGACCACCAAGGATCCAGGTTTCCATTTTTATCATATTTTCTACCTAGTGAAAAGGAAAGTTAAAAGACATTTGTACTACCTGTGTTCTCTTCTAGGATTTTTATGGTTTTAGGTCTCACATTGAGGTCTTTCATCCATTTTGAATTTATTTTTGTGTAGGGTGTCAGAAAGTGGTCCAGTTTCATTCCTTTGCATGTAGCTGTCCGGTTTTCCCAGCAGCATTCGTTGAAGAGACTGTCTATTTCCCACTGGATATTCTTTCCTGCTTTGTCAAAGATTAATTGACCATATATTTGTGGGCTCATTTCTGGGTTTTCTATTCTTTCCATTAATCTACGTGTCTATTTTTGTGCCAGAACCACACTATTTTGATGACTAGAGCTTTGTAATAGAGTTTGAAGTCTGGAATTGTGATGCCTCCTGCTTTGCTTTTCTTTTTCAAGATTGCTTTGGCTATCCGGGGTCTTCTGTGGTTCCATACAAATTTTAGGACTGTTTGCCCTAGCTCTGTGAAAAATACTGGTGGTATTTTGATAGGGATTGCATCATTTTTCCAAAGAAGACATCCAGATGGCCAACACACATGAAAAGATGCTCAACATCACTCATCATCAGGAAAATGCAAATCAAAACTACAATGAGATATCACCTCACACATGTCAGAATGTCTAGTATCAAAAAGACAAGAGATAACAAGTGTTGGAGAGAATGTGGAGAAAGGGGAACCCTCTTGCACTGTTGGCGGAAATGCAAATGGGTGCAGCCCCTGTGGAAGACCGTATGGAGGTTCCGCAAAAAGCTAAAAATAGAAACAGGTTCCACAAAAAGTTAAAAATAGAACTACCCTACGACCCAGCAATTATACTACTGGGTATTTATCCAAATGATATAAAAATACTGATTTGAAGGGGTGCATGCACCCTGATGTTTACAGCAGCATTATCTACAATTACCATATCATGGAAACAGCCCAAGTGTCCACTGACAGATAAATGGATAAAAAAAAAGTGGTATATATAGAGACAGTGGAATATTATTCAGCCATAAAAAAGAATAAATGTTGCCATTTGCAATGACAGGGATGGAGCTAGAGAGTATAATGCTAAGTGAAATCAGTCAGTCAGAGAAAGACAAATACCATATGATTTCACTCATATGTGGAATTTAAGAAACAAAACAAATGAGCAAAGGGAGAAAAAAGAGAGAGAAGCAAACCAAGAAACAGACTGTTAACTCTAGAGAACAATCTAATGGTTACCAGAGAGGAGGTGGGGGGGGATGGGTGAAACAGGTGATGGGGATTAAGGAGGGCACTTGTCCTGATGAGCACTGGGTGATACATGCAAGTGCTGAATATTGTACACCTGAAACTGATATTACACTGTATGTTCACTAACTAGAATTTAAATAAGGACTTAAAAAAGAAATTTGTACTATTTGTGGAAACTAATTTCTTCATTTTCCCTTTCCCTCAATTCAATAGACCTTGAAAAAGCAGTCCCAGTAGCAAGGGTCATTCCTGGGAGCAGCTCCCACCTTCTCTCCAATGTCACAGGTTAATTGTAAAAAGAGGGGTTGAGAAAGAGGTTTGAGGAAGTTCTTTCCTTCTAAGCAACAAAGAACATTTTAAAAATAAGATTCATCAACTGATGGCATGCACACCGTGAACGAATCTTGAATTCTTTGTTTTCACCTGATGTGACCCATAATGTTCTCTGGATTATGAAATGAAACGGCTTCATTCAGAAAGCCCATGGAGGGAGCTGGAGCATCACTACCAGTGAAATTCCAAACGATCCATAGGAACAGCCCAGTGAGTCATTCACACCGATCCATAGGCACAGCCGAGTGAGTCATTCACACTGTGAGACCACAGCCCCTGACTCAGCCCTATAGGAACGTGTTTCCTCCAAGTTGCTAGGAGCTGAGAGGCACATAAAACCTCTGTTATGAATCATTTCACAGCCATCAGTGTGCATGGAAGGCCCATCTGTCCTGCTTTGACAAGGCAGGTGGCTCTAAAAAGAGAACTTGGAACAAGAATGGAAATCTCCAAAACATAATGGAAAAAAAGATTAATTATACATGGTAGTTTGTTTTTTGTTTTTTTGCTACAGGCTCAGACTTCGTTTTGTCTACACCCTTCAAAAAAAGTTTGAGTAGATCTGGACTATCGTCCATACTCAAGATTACTATTGGTTTAAATTTAATTATGCAAAGAACTCTTCCTTGGACTTACAAGAAAGTCCCCGAAGCAAAGGCGTTAACTGAAATAATCCAAAGCTCTTTGGCAAGGGTGGATGCCACTACCACCACCCCCTGGGAAAGCATGGAGTCACTGTCCTCCATACACTATCCCACCAATCATTAAACAGTTACTGGGCACGTAGTTAACTCTGTAACTCTCTGTTCTAATTATTGGTTATGGAATGAAATTGCCATCATTAGATTATGTCCTTTGAGAATGAATGGCTCCAGAAGGCCTCCAAAAGATTCCGGGGGAGAACTGTACTTAAATTTCCCAGGAAGAAAGGCCCAGAACCAAGAGATGACTACTGGGTTATGTTTCTTAGCTAAGACTCTCCTCTTAGATAAAGCGAACATGCAAAGACAGAAAGTGTAGCTCTGGAGATTGAGATGACTATAAGGCAGCTACATTTTTAATAGGGAGGGGAGAAATCAGAGGAGCAGAAACCCTAGGTGATTCAGGAAGCGCTGGTGGGAGCACAGGAAGAACTGTCCAGAAGGAGAAGAACCAAGAGTCTCTGGCCCTGGGGTAGGCATCCAGGAAAGGATGTTGGAGACACCACCGACATGGAAGAAAAAAAGGTCCTCCTACACAGTGTTGCCTTGTGCCAGCCAGGTCCTTGAATCTGCCTGTAAATCATTGTGCAGATGTGCATATGATTGTAATTTGCTGCTAATTCATAAATTTTAGAGATTTCATGTGGATTTCCAATAATGCTCAAAGGTAAAGGAGAAAGGAGTGCCAATCAAAAATGATGACGACTCTCAAAGGGCGCTAATTTCAGTTTATGTCATATTCTGCTCTTGTGCTTAAATATCATCAGGATACATAGCACATTCTTCTATATTATACATTATTAGAAAAGCAAAGCCTTTTAACAAAATTCTGAATATATGCCAGCATAGAGAAAAACAGAGCTTAAGCATTGCATAATCTTTGCAATAGTATAAAGGGATCAGGCAGCCAAGCTCCAGAGTCCTAACTGGCTGAGTCCTAACTTGGCAGCACGTATAATCATCTTAGCAGCAGAGCTCACACCTCCAAGGAGAGCATCTCAAGATGGTGAATAAAGAAATGACAAAGGGGAGAAGCTATGAAGCAGTTCCTGGAACTATCGTGGCAGCTACAGCAAGCCTGATCTAAATGCAAAGTTAACTTCATTGAAATTACAAGGTCTTTTTTTTTTTTTTCATGCTATCTCATCACCAACGGGAACAATTACTTATTTATGGCAAGCTATCACAGCAAGACATGGGGGGAAGTTTTCAATCAGCAATCATACTGCTTTGGATAATCTTCAGTCTATGATGATGCCACTATGCAAAGATAATAGCAACAATTAACATCCGTATCATCAACATTATCATAAAAAGCAGCAGCTCATACAACGAACCCGGTACTTACCATTATTATCAAATCCATGTGTAAATTCATGTCCAACAATTACTCCTATAGCTCCATAACTCAGAGATCTATGGTACAAATATATAATTTGGAGAAAATTACAAGCATTAATCTCAGAGCATAATCCTTTGATTTTTTTCAATGAAAGCCAAGATAATCTGTTTTCTAGTAACCACAATAACAACTTAATAACCATACCCACAAAATTATATAAAAAAAAAAATCTAAACACACCCTTCTCACTGAAATGCATAAAGAAAACTATGACCCTGTACGACATTAGGGATACGAAAGAGATGGTTTCTAAAGTCCCTTCCAGCCCTAAGGTTTCTATGATTCTGTATCTGCTCCAGCTAGTTTGTATCCATGAACACATAAAGCAGCAGCAGGCTTTGAAAAGATCCTGTCAGTAAACATACCATTTATTTTTTTATCTGAGAACCTGTTGAAAAATCACTCTAGACTTAGAAGTTATTCCCCAAATGCAATCATAAAAAAAGGAACAGAGCAGAGATTCAAAGGGATCACTGCTTTCAAAGGGAGTCACGTTCCCTTGCTTCTGTGACAGACAAGGTCATGAGTGAATGGCAAGGATCGTGAAGCCTTAACCAGAGTTGGAAACTGCAGAATCGTGAGCCAATAGTGGTGGTTTGGAAGTGCTTGAGTGCTGGTTAGGTAGCAATACATAACTGAAACAGTATGTTAATGATAAATGAAGAAATCCATAAGGAGGCTTCTGGATGTGTGTGTGGGTCTGGGACCTTCTCTCCCAACTACAAGTTCCATGAAGGCCAAACCCTTATCTACTTGGTCACTGCTATTTTTCTGTAACTAGGACACAGTAAGAAAGTCGCAGTGATTTAACTCATCGGTTAATTAACTTTACCATTTCACACAAGTGACAGGTCTACATGTAACTTATTTTAGTGATTTAACATGTGGATGAGGATTAAAGACGATTTAAAATCCTTGTTATGAGGATTCTTCCTGAGATTTGCAATTATGCTAAAAATATTTCGCAGTTGGCTCCTGACAAGCGACATCAAAATCACCTGGCAAATGGAAAGGACCCGTAAGTGGAAAGAACAAAAAATTTTTGAGGCAACATGTTATTACAGGACATAATGATCCTTAACATGCTAATTGTTTGTCTCAACCATACCCAAGGAAGTGCTATAAGATTTAATTTTTCCCCTTGGTGGCAATTCTTTCCTTTGTTATTTCTTTCCTGCAAGGTAATTTGCATTTGAAAAAACGCTTCCTACTGTTTTTACATCATTGCAAACCTTCATTACGAAAGTAAGAGTAAAATTATGCATTTCAATCATGGAGCTCCCATGGCAGTGTGGGACAAACTTGTAATTTTACATAGTGCTAGTTTCTGCAGCAGGCTCTACACTATGCAGCCTGTAACCTTGCGGTTTTTCATGCCTCTCAGCCTTGAGCACAGTACTCAGGCCTCTATAACCCCTGGTCAATGCTGGTGACTGGACGGGCTTAAGGGATGAACAATGGAAGCTTATAGGAACTGCTCTGCAATCAATGTCCCTTAAGAGGGACTGCTCTGATGAGCTTCCTATTTGCGAAGGGTAATAAAGAATTCAGAAAATGACTGAATCACTGTAAGTTTCAATTCTCAGTCACATAATCGTGATCCTTTGGACGGGAGACAAGAAAAAGTAATTTTATATGACTGAGCCTTCCAATGATAATGTTTCAGAATGCTGAAGTCCCATCTTCCATTTCATCAATGGACATTATTAAATGAGCATGCCATAAAAATAAATAAACTCAAATGCCTTTTAAAATGGGGCCGGCTGGCCAGAAACAAGAAGACTGCTGCAGAGAAAAATCGAGTCTTCCAAAAATAAAATGGAAAAAATGACCATTTTTCCACCTACTCAGTTTCTCTCGTGTTCTTACTACCCACCCCATGGGTTTAACGTGTGCCCTGTATTCTGCTGTCAACAAGAGGACGGCCAGGCCGCTGTGCAGCAACCATGATCTCACACTGTCATCAAGTAAGGGCTACTCTGTGCCTGAATCAGAAACTCATCAAAATCTCCGATTTGAAAGCAGCTTTCAGGTTATCTACTTCGACTCCTTGGCAGAGGCATGGGCCTCCTCCACAAAAACCCATTCCAATAGTCATAGGACTTCTCCTGGGATTTCTAATAACCAGGAGCTCATGAGGGGGACTGGTCCCTCTTCAGGTGGTTCTAAATAAAACAGCTCTCCCTAACACTGATCCGCAATCTCTCTCCTACGTCTTCTATCTATTGGTCTCGTATAGTCTCTAGCTAAATACCCTCTGACCCCCCTGAATACAGTAAATTGTCTGCCACCTTAACTCTCCTTCAAAAATGTGAAGACACTTACAAGGTTCCCCTTCAAGTGTCCTCAAGTTCTTTAAATTGTTCTTCTTCAGCCATGAATTCTAGACCAGCGTTTCCCAAAACAAAGGCAAAGGGGGAGCTTAGGAACCTCTGGGTTAAACACATTTAAATAGGTTTCTTTCTTACAGAACTTCTTGGAAATTCTTATGCTGCTGAATATTGTAATTCTTCAAAAAAAAAAAAAGGGAGGGTGGGGGCGCCTGGGTGGCTCAGTCGTTGGGCGTCTGCCTTCGGCTCAGGTCATGATCCCAGGGTCCTGGGATCGAGCCCCGCATCGGGCTCCCTGCTCTGCGGGAAGCCTGCTTCTCTGTCTCCCACTCCCCCTGCTTGTGTTCCCTCTCTCGCTGTGTCTCTCTCTGTCAAATAAATAAATAAAATCTTTAAAAAAAAAAAAAAAAGGGAGGGTGACTTACCTCTATTACTACTTCATGGAACACACACTTTGGGGTGTTGTCTTAGGCTACTTACAATCCTGAATCTTTCCTCTAGAAACAATTTAGCTTGTTGAGGTCCCCAGAACTAGACCCAACATTCAGGGAAAGACTAAGTTGACCAGTGTGAACATAATGGATACCCACTTGCTGGGTCTGGAGGCTAGCTATCCAAAACAGATGTATGGGAAGCCAGCTGACCGGACTGTGATTCCCATGTCTCCAGCATCTCCATCTTTCCAACACCAAGTACCCAAAAGATGCTTAATAATTATTCATTGAGCAGATATCGTAATAGAGGATGGAAGGCTTCAGTGAGGACATAGAACTCTAGGAAAAAAATACAAATCTCTCTCCTACTCAAGTATCAAATATGGCTCAGCCTAAAGCTAAACTCACAGATACTAATATTATTTCCTAGGTTTCTATGATTTTGACTTTTAGATCAGAAAATCATGTTCATGGACCCAATAAACAAATTCACTGAATCAGTAACTTCAAAACCTAACCAGACTATTTCCAAGTCTCTAGGTATATAACCACAATAACAGAAGCTCAGATAAACTGCTAAAGATAAGCAGAATCAAAGAATTCTAGGACATTTTTAGTTTGAAGGAAATTTAGAGAATATTTAGCCTAGACCTTTATTTTTATAGAAATATGTGTAAGTTTTTAATTTGAATAATAGGGAAAAATCAATTCCAAATATCTGAGCACTAATAAAAAACTATGCAGCTGAGGCCTGGGATGATAGTAAGGGATTTGGTTAATGCAAACCAAGAATTTTCATTTATGCTAATGGAGCGCTTCCCTAAGGTAAGCTTTACTGATGCCTGCTCCTGGTCCCCTCAGCACTCACCATTTTTGAGCACACCAATACAACAGCTTCCAACTGCCAACACCTGAAACTAGTTGCCTGAGGACTTTTTCTGGCTACCAGAGCCCTCGTGGCCGAGACTGGGCAACGCCAGAGAGTTAATACAGCAGGTGGCAGCCCTCAAATCAATGAGGGAAGGGGAGTTGGATGATCAACACCCCAGCAACCTTGCCCCTGAGGTGGGATTACGCTGAAGCATGTTCTACAGTTCCCCAGCAGGACTGAGCCCCAGTTGCTCACAGTGATAACAGGCTTTGAAACACATATGTGGTAGGTAGAATAACGGCCCCCAAAAGATGTCCACATGCTAATACCCAGAAGTCATGATATGTGATGTTATTACACAGCAAAGGGGAATTAAGGTTGCTAATCAGCTGAGCTTAAAATAGGGAGATTATCCTGGATTATCTGGGTGCACCCAATATAATCACAAGGGTCCTTCAAAGTGGAGGAGAAGGCAGAAGAGGAGAGTCAGAAGGAGATGTGACTATGGATCTATGGTCAGAGAAATGCAACTTTGCTAGTTTGGAAGATGGAGGAAGGGGTCATGAGCCAAGGAATGTGGGCCAACTCTAGAAGCTAGAAAAGGCAAGGAAACAGATTCCTCCCTAGAGCTTCCAGAAAGGAATGCAGCTGTACCAACATCTTGTGTTTACCCCAGTGAGACCCAGGTTGGACTTCTGACCTAAAGAACCATAAGCTAAGGGCGCCTGGGTGGCTCAGTTGGTTAAGCGACTGCCTTCGGCTCAGGTCATGATCCTGGAGTCCCTGGATCGAGTCCAGCATCGGGCTCCCTGTTCAGCGGGGAGTCTGCTTCTCCCTCTGACCCTCCCCACTCTCATGCTCTATCTCATTCTCTCTCTCAAATAAATAAATAAAATCTTTAAAAAAAAAAAAAAGAACCATAAGCTAATAAATTCATGTTGTTTTAAGCCACTAAGTTTGTGATAATTATGGTAGCCACAGGAAACTCATGCAACACAATTTATTGGCTTCCTTCCCTCCCTGTCTCACGTCTCCATTTCCCTGCTGGTGTTTTCTGCTGTCACCTCCCATAAGAACTCCTTGAACTCGATTCCTTGTCATAGGGTCTGCTTTTGGAGAAGTCCAAATCAAAATACTGCCACCATATTTCTCTTACTTTTATATGTATGTGATCCCATATGTTTTTAACCTACAAAATATTTAAATTGTCATTTATCTAAACCAAAACACAAGACACTAAACTTCTAAAAGCAAGACTAAATTTTCTGTATATTAAAGAACCAGAGCAAACAAAGGCACACAATAAAAGTGGTGATATTACCAACAATGAATATTATCAGAATTCCCACTATATGTGTAAATTCTGAATTACTTAAGTCTACAGTCTGTTGGTATTAATGACCTTTAATATCTCTAACTCCAGAGACTATCAATTTTTGACCTATTATATTACTACCCAGCTTATATTTCTAAAGACAAATTTGATTATCTTTACTTGTTCAAAAACTTCTATATGTTCTATTGCTTGTTAATGTCCAGGCTCCTTACCCAGCACTCAGAGCCCTCCAATATCCAATATCAAACTTCTTTTCTAGATGTCTCTTCCACTACTTCCCTTCATATATGACTTGAACCAGCCAAACTAAAATCTTTGCTATTCTATACACATTTTTCTTTCCTCTTCTCACATTATTTCTTCCATTTTTTCCATGGTGTCTGACCCAATACCATCAACTCAAATCCCAACAATCCTTCAAGGTCCAAATATTTGTACTATGAGTCAATGCACAAGTGAATAAATGCATAAAAATGAAAGCTCCATGTGTAGAAGTTGTCTCTCCTGTCCAGTCATACATCCTGGTAAAAAGAATAGGAAGACAAATACCTAAAATAATGAAAGCGGGACTGGCCCACACCAGGTTCCATGCCCTTCTTGTGCTAAACAACCACTGGCTTTGTTTTTTTTGTTCTGTTTTGTTTTGATTTTTGTGACTTTATATTCTATTCTCTGCCAAAGCAGCATGTTCTCCCCTACTCGTCAATAACTGGTTTCTTCACTCATTTACTTACCGAGGATATTCTGTTCCCCAAAAAAAGGGCTTCTGGAGCTCTCCTGCTGGAAACCCTGGGAGAAAGACAAACAAAACTGTAAGGGATACAGAGATTGATTCGATGAGGAGTACTTGGTTCAAGCTTTAGCCTGGAAGTTTCAAAGGTCCATCTGAAAGGTCCTCTTCGTGGAGCTGGGAGTATTCTAAGAGATTCAACTGTTTCTAAAACGATATTAATTCAATGGAGTTTGAAATAAGTGCATCACATGAGTTTCAAGGAAACCACTTTGCATGAATATGCTATTGGCATTGTCCAGCCTGCTGTGAACTGGGCTCCTTTATACAGCACGTGCAGGAGGCTTCTGGCTGTCCAGCAGCTTTCCCTGATACAGAGAGGGCCAGCTACACGGATACGCAACCTATGCAGTCAAAGCCCTCCCCCCACCAGGTGCCCCATTTGCATGCAGCATTCTTGATACTTCCTACGAACACAGAACTCCACTAGACCCACAATGTGCGGGAATTCAGTGAGACTCAAAGTGAGTACAAGGGAAGCATGTGACATCTAGGACTGAGTAGAAGGGGCCTCCGGCAGCCCCAAGAAGGCCCTTTCCATTGGAACCAGGATTTGCTTTGATCACCCAAAAAAAGGCAGTGGCATTCTGAGAAACAAGAATGACCAAGGAACCCTGTTATATCCTTTCCTACTTGTGTTACTTCTCTGTATTAAACAACCACATACACTGAAAATTACATAGGAGGAAGGGGAAAGACAGGGCAACCCACAGTTCCTTTTCCTTTCAGTCCTCCCTTACTCATCAATAAGCCAGAGGTAGACAGTGTGAGTAGAATGTACATGTATTAAGAAATAACAAAAGCCGCTGGGTTAGTTTTGTGCAGCGTTTCCACTGGCCTGGTAAGAACAAAATACCTATGCATGTATAAGCTACAAAATACAAACTGTATAATGTTGGTGATTCCACAGGTAAGTCAAAGGTCTTATATTTTCATTTAAAACTGACATTACACAATATGAAGATGAACCATAAACTTATGCTGATGACTGAAAATGTTTATTTTTCCTACAACTTAACAATGACATTAAACAGCAAATAAAAAACTGACAAGTCTAGAGAAAGAAAGGCCACGGGAGGCAGGACAAAGCTGCATACCTGAGCACCTTTAACTGCACTTTTTCTGGCTTTCTGAACTATTTTCATCTGCCACTGGGCCATACAAATTAAGCAGCTGGTTTTGTGCAGATGAGCAGGAGAAATGCTTTGCTTTGGTATTGCAACTCACCACTAAATCTGGCACCCTGGGCGGATTCTGAGAGCTGCGTTAGTAAGTCATAACAATTGGGAATGTAAAGAATAGTAACAGAAGACAAAACAAAGGGGGGGGGAGCGAGCACCCCCTTCTGCAATGTCCTTGCCTGCTCCAGCCACCGCTCTAGCCCCCGTGAGACTGAAAGCTCTTCTAGGAGTTAAAATGTTTTCCCTTCCTTCTCTCCCTCTCCACATTCTGTCTACCCCCGGCCATGAGAGGATACTACGACACTGGGAGGAGAAGTGAGGACAAGAAAGCAAGTTCTTAGTTTAGAAGTGAAATGTTAATTCCATATACCTATTCTTTGTATTTTATTCATATCAGTTTGAGATTTCAAGGTACAAAAACCTCACTGCAAAACAGAGATGGATCTAGCTAGGAGTTCTCTCTCTTCCTGCTACTTTCATAGAGAGGAAAACGCATGACTTTGAAGGGGCAACATCATATTAATCTTCATCGTTTTCAAAATTGCCTGAGATTTTTTTTGCATCTTTACATCAATATTCCATCCTTTTTTGGTGATTACTTTTAGTAAGTCATTCGAACTTGGAGAGATATATGCAAATATATATTACATATATATGCAAATCACAGTGTTTATGTGAAAGTCTCGTCTCAGACAACAAATCATCAAAAAGCAATATTTCCCAATAAGAACAATGATCATGAACCAAAGGGATCTAATTATGAAATCATTACGGCGCTCCTGCTTGGTACCATGCCCAGCTGGAAGCATTTCTGTCCACTGCCAACCTCTTTACAGGAAGACATCTGACACCTGCATGTGCCTCCGTTTCTGCGGCTTTTGCTGTCAGGGGCCCCAGACTCGAAGGCCACAGCCATCGCACGCCTCGGGTCAGCTGTGTCTGCTCAGCCTGTCGGGGCCATGGAACCCTCCACTGCTCAACACAAGAATCTGATGCCCTTAGGGCTGTTTTGCTGAAGTGAATGGCTTCACAGTGTAAGCTGCAGGATCGTATCTCAGGAAGTGGATAAGTTGTATTCAGCAAAGGTAGAAGTTAAAAAATAATTAAACAGAAAGGGAATTATTTTCTCTTCTCTCCCTTTTTAATAGGCTTTTCTTATTTTGTTTTGTTTGCAAATCCATTGTATTTCCTTTTCCCCCCCATCTCAGCACTGCGTCACCAGTTTCATACTTTTAAAGCTCTTTTTTTTAAAGCTCCTTTTCCTATCAGTATATTTATGGGAGGCATCCTCACAATGTAAATGTGTGCATGTACACACACATGTGCCTGCATCCATATTACGTGTTACATATGGACACATTATGCATACATAGAGATATACATAGGAGAGGAGAGAGGGAGGGAGAGGAAGGAAAAAAATGTAACTATTAGATTGGTAAAAAAATTAGTCAATTTGGTAATAGGTAATACTGGCCAGGGTATAGGAAGCATGTTGGTTTGAGCGTAAACTGTTTGTTGTAAGCCTTTTGATGAGCAATTTAGTCATCTCTTAATGCTTTAAATGCCACTTCTAAAAAATGAGTAACTATGTGCTGACATGGAAAAAATATCTAAAAGATATTAAGTGGAAAAAAATATTAAGTGAAAAACCAGCATTCAGTCGTGTATGTGGTCCTTTTCTGCATAACATATGTTAAACATATGTATAGCTACATACAGTCAGTTCTGCTATAACACTTATATTTAAAAGGCAAATTTGCTCTAAGGTGATTGATACACTGGGGAAAAAATTGGGGCATAATTCCAACTTCATGTTTGCTTATGTTTAATTTCGTCCTCAAGAAATGCTAAGTGAAAGCAAAAAATGCACCAAATGAACTGAGCCACACAGAAATACACAAAACTCACACATCCCAACATGGACCAGTTGGTTACCTCAGTTTGCCACACGCATTAGAAGCCACAGACACCCACACCTGGTGTTAAAATTTTCCTTGCAACTTCAGATCACCCTCCTTCAACCACGACACAGTAACTCACAAGCTGCAAGTCCTCCAACACCCACTTCAACAAACCTCAGGCCTTTCCAGGGGAAAATGCCATATTTACTGTAGTATTTATGTATTTACTCATTTAACATGTGTAAGACTGTGCTATCATTTTTTTCAAAGATGTTTTTTAGAGAGAGAGCGAGCAAGCGATGGTGTGAGCAGGGGGAGGGGCAGAGGGAGAGGAAGAGGGAGCGAAGCAGACTCCCCGCTGAGTGCAGAGCCTGATGCGGGGCTTTATCTCACGATCTCACGACCCTGAGATCATGACCTGAGCCGAAATCAAGAGTCGGATGCTTAACCAACTGAGCCACCTAGGCACCCCTGTGCTATCATTTTTATTAGGCTCCTGGCTTTTGTTTTCATGTGTCATTGATAATGTTTTTGATTGTTGTGTCCCAAACCCCATTTATCCCATAAGCCTGTGGCTTTTACTGCACAATTTTGCATAACACAGTGATGTTTAGGAACATGTATGTCGCGTTATAGCAGAACTAACTATATATGTACATGTGGGCATCTACGTGTATATGAACGCATATATATTCCTGCCAGTGGTCCTCAAATTTTATCAGGCATCAGAATGACCTAGAGGGCTTATTGGAACAGATTGCCGGCCCCACCCTAAGAGTTTCTGAGTTAGTATGTACGGAGAGGAGGCTAAGAATTTGTGTCTTTAACAAGTTCCCTTGTGATGCTGAAGCTGCTGGTCTAAGAGCCACACTTCAAAAGCCGCTGCCCAGGGGCGCCTGGGTGGCTCAGATGGTTAAGCGTCTGCCTGGGGCTCAGGTCATGATCTCCAGATCCTGGGATCGAGCCCCATGTCAGGCTCCCTGCTCAGTGGGGAGTCTGCTTCTCCCTCTTCCTCTGCCTCTCCCCACTGCTCCTGCTCTCTCTCTGTCTCAAATGAACAAATAAATTCTTTAATTTTTTTTTAAAGATTTTATTTATTTATTTGACAGAGAAAGAGAGACACACACAGTGAGAGAGGGAACACAAGCAGGGGCAGAGGGAGAGGGAGAAGCAGGCTTCCCGCGGAGCAGGGAGCCCGATGTGGGCTCGATCCCAGGACCCTGGGATCATGATCTGAGCTGTAGGCAGACGCTTAACGACTGAGCCACCCAGGCACCCCTAAAAAATTCTTTTAAAAAAAAAAAAAAGAGCCGCTGCCCAGACACTCATTCATGTGTACTGCGGAGTCATGGCTAAATATGTTCATTGCTGCATCGCTACAATTGAGAAAAGTGTGCCGCAAACCAGATGTCCAGAAGGAGAAAAATGACTTAATTATGGCATAACCATACTATGGACTGCTCTGCAGCAAATGAAAAGAAAGAGGTAGGTCTTAATATTCTAGCATGAAAAAATCTCCCAAGACACGTTGTTGGAATAAAGCAAGGCACAGATACAGATAAACACCATTTCTGTTTTTTAAATAAGTAGCATATCTGTGTAGTACATGAACACAAATGCACAGAAAAGGTCTGTAAAATATGTATCAAAGGGATTAGAGTGGCTGCTTCTTGGAGCTAACGGGAACTAGGAGGTGATGACTGATTAAAGGGATTTTGGACATAGACGTAATGTTGTAAATTTTAACTAGTCAAAGGTAATCAACTCGTGTAATGAAAATTAACTCTGAGAAATAAATGTGTATCGGGGCACCTGTGTGGCTCAGTTGGTTAAGTGTCTGCCTTCAGCTTAGGTCATGATCTCAGGGTCCTGGGATCGAGCCCTGCGTCCAGCTCTCTGCTTAGCGGGGAGTCTGCT